TGTGCTGGGTGCAGTGGCAAAGGCCTATAATCCCAGTGACTAAGGAGGCTGAGGCAAGAGGAGCTCAAGTTAAAGGCCAATTCAGCAACTTCAGTGAGACTCTGTCTCAATATAAAAAGTGCTGAGGATCTGGCTCACAGAGCACCTCTGCATTCAATCCCCAGTACCACAAAAAACAAAAACAAAACAACTGGGGCTGGGGATGTGGCTCAAGCGGTAGCGCGCTCGCCTGGCATGCGTGCGACCCGGGTTCAATCCTCAGCACCACATACCAACAAAAAGGTGTTGTGTCCGCCGAGAACTGCAAAATAAATATTAAAAATTAAAAAAAAACTGTCTGGGGACAGGATGCACTACTTTTTGTGTATATTGCTGGGAATGGAACCCAGGACCATGCACATGCAAGACAAGTGCCCAGCCACAGAGTTGCACCCCAGGCTCAATGCAGAGTTTTGTGCACTGCTCCTGGGTATCTATTTTGTCAGCTTCCCCCAGTGCACAGACACCCTGAAGAGTGCCTGTCCTCCCTGAGATACCCAGGTCAGATGGCCACAAGACCCCCTGCAGTAGTGATCCCCAACCACCTTAGGCTCCCCTCAGTCCCCATCCCTTGTCACTGCTCAGTGCTGCCACTTCCCGTGAGATGTGCACACTGTTCTGAAAGCCTCTGGTGGACTCTGTCCACCTTGTGCTTCAACCCTGCCTGTTCAGATGAGCTCGCAGCCTGCGGAGGGAAGTCTCACCTCCTCAAACACTATCTGTCCATTCCGTCTTCTCACTGAACAGTCCCCTCCAGCCGGACAGCCACTAGGCCTGCCTGCAAGAGCAGAGGGCTGTCAGGCACAGGGGCCCGGGAAGCTGGTGTTGTATGTGCATGTGCAAGTGTGTGTGCGTGTGTGTGTGCACATGTGTGTGCACATGTGTGTGCATGTATGTGTTCCCATGCAGGCCTGCATTCCTGTGTGAGTGCCTGTGTGTGTGGACATGAGTTTGAAAGCCCGCAGGAGATGACCTGCTCAGGACTGAGCTTGGTGCACCTTACAGGTCCTTTAATTGCGACTCTCCTGGGACGCAGGCCTGCAGCCTCCCTGCGTCCTGCTGCATCCGTCCCTGGGAAGACGGGGCTTTGGTGAACACCCAGTGTGGTCTGGGGGCACTGCGCCTGGACGAGGACGCGGCCGGGCAAGTTGTGCACCTGGAGGGCTGCGGGCCTGCGATGCTGCAGTGGCTGCACAGGAACATCCAGGCCCTGGGCGGCTGTGCCATTGCCATCGTGGTGGTCCAGGGAGCTGAGCTCCTGCTGGCCACCTGGCTGCTGAAGGCCCTGGCTGCTCACAAGACAGTGGAGGCTGTGGAGGCTGGTCCCCTGTGAGCACAGGTTCCTGTGTGGCCTCCCCGCCAGGCACAGCCGAGGAGAGGCTGTGGTATAGACAGGGCTCCAGGCTTCTCTCACCTGCAGGGTTGGGGGTCAGAGAAACACCCCTCCTCCCCTGCCAGGCCACTGCCCCACAGGCCTCTGGCCTCTGCCACCGGTCATCCCAAGGGCCAGATAGACTGGCCACCTGCCCAACTGAGCTCTGGCTGCCCAAAGACCCACCTAAATCACCTGCTCCTGGCAAAGGCTGTGGTGGCTGATGTCTGGTGCGTCTGCCTCTGGCTGGTGGGTGTTCTTGCCTCTCCCACCCTTCTTCCACTCCACAGGGCCTTGCCCGTGCTCCGCCCCCAGACCCCACCCGCTCACTGCAAGCACTTCCCTGACCTGAGGGTGAGGCCGGGCTTCTGCCAGAAGTCTGTTTTAGGGGAGGATAAGCCACTTGCTGAGGTGTGATTCATTCAGTAAACTGCCAATCTCAAGTGTCTGCCTGAGGACTTCTATATGTGGAGCCACCACCTGGTCAAAATGGGAAGTCCCCAGCCTCTCTGTCAGCCCTGCCCTGGCTTCATCTCCAGGGGCAGTGAAACCCGCGTCTGATGTCCTGCAGGAGGAATCACAGAGGGCGCTCTGTGAGCCTCATCTGGCCACTGCTGCAGGAGGGGCCTCACGACCCTCAGCCCCCCCGAGGAGGCACCCAGTGCAACCATCCAGCCTCTGGGGCACGAGTGCCAGCATGGGTCCTGCTGTGTGGCCCTGGCTGCTGTGCTCTGGGTAGAAGCCCCAGCTCACCCTGGATGTGTGCTAGGTGTGTGGGCACAGCCCCAGTGTAGACTGGGGGCCTGGGTTTCCTCCCGTGTGAGGTGGAGACAGAGCTCCTGCCTCATGGTGTCTGATGCCAGGGGCTCTGTCCACCCCCTCCTTCTTGCTGAGGCCTGCTCTGACCACCCACATGCGTCACTGACTATGGTCCCTGGAGTAATCGAGGGACACAGCATGGCTTATGAGTCTGAGGCCTCCAGGCCGAGGTTCAGTGGGACAGGTTGTCCCTGGTTTTTACCCTCTCCACCAGGCCAGCCCCTCCTGCCCCACCCCTGCCTTGAGCCTTCCTCCATGCATTCCTGCCCTCGAAGCCCTCACCCTGGGGTCTGACCTAACAAAACAGGTGCCCCAGGCAAGCAGGGACATGCTCATTTTATTATGGTATGGAGACAAGGAGGGTGGGTCATTTTGGAAAGGCTGATGATGAAGGGCCTCATTCTCTCATTGCAAAGCAGGACTCCCACCATGGCCCACCCATGCCAGGTGGAAGAGCTGAGGGGGGGGCCTCCTCACCTGCACAAAGCAGCACAGGGGGCTGACGGTGGGGGACATACACGTGTGGGTTCTCTCTCTGTTCCAGTCAGGAGGAGGTGAAGGCTTGGGGGTGGGCCAGGGTCAACAAGAGGTCAGCAGGGTGTCCTGGGGAGGGGGGCTCCTGGCAACTAGCATCCAGGGCCTAAGATCACCCTGCCTGGAGGCCAGGTGCCTGCTGTGCTGGGGGCCCCCTGCAGGGATCCTGAGCAGGGCTCCAGCAGGCCATGCAGAGTCCAGGACCCCAGAAGGTCTGGCTAGATGATGCCGTACTGGGCCAGTTCGTGCAGCTCCAGATGGTTGAAGGCTTCCCATGGGCAGATGACCGTGATGTCTGCAGGAAGCATGTGGTCAAAGAGGATCCCTAGCCCAGGAATCCCCCACCCCATCTCCCTGTTTTCCCACACGCCCTCGTGGACAGCTGAGGGGAGGGGCAGCAAGGATCTCGAATCCTCAGGCCTGGTAAATGTGCTCCCCCCTTGGGAACAGCCCCACTCAGTGGGAACTGAAGCTTGATGTTGGGGTAAGAGACAGAGGCAGGCCAGGGGGACAGTGCCCTAGGTAAGAAGCTGGGGGAAGCTGGGGTTGCTGGGCCTGTGGGCCCCAGGCATGCCTTGGGGGGACCTGGGAAGACCCTCAGCGTAACACTAGCCACGGGGATACCTGTTCCCAGGCCTTCCATTCCAGGGATGTCATCCCCAAACCTGCAAGGACAGAACAGTCAGGGACAGTGGTCCCAGGTCAGGACCCAGCCCTCCCAGGAGACCAGGTCCAGACTGGGAGCACAGTGGGCAGAGATGTGGGTCTCCTCCCCAACCTCCCACTGCTGCGCTGGGCCTGAGGAGTCCCTTCCACAAACACAGGCTGTGGCCCAGCAAAGAGGGAGTGAGCTGAGGGGTCGGGTGTGTGCCTTGGCAAGAGCATAGCATGGGGACCTTTGGGTGGGCAGAGGGCAGTGTGTCCAAGTGTGCTGGTGTGGTTGGGATGTGGCTTGTGCTTGAAGGCTGGGCGCTGGAGGCTGGGTCCCCAGAATTAGGTATTGAGAGGTGGTAGGTCTTTAAGAGGGGCCGAGTGGACGGGGATTAGGTCAGTGGGATTAATAGGCCGTAACTCTGCAGAACAGAGGAGCCTGGTGTCCCATCTCACCATGGGATCTGTCCCTATCACTGGCAGCCTTGCCATGACAGCATCCACCATACTGTGATGTAGCCCCGGGGCCCTTACCCAGAGGCTGATTTGAGGGAGCAACTCTGCCAGGAAAACTTTCAGCCTCCAGAACCGTGAGCATTAAGTGCCAGCCTTCCTTGCACAATGAAAAGCAGCCCTTCTCGGTGTGCACGTGGGATGTGACATGATTGTGTGTGCCTAGAGAGTGTGGCGGAGGGGTGCACACACATCCCTGAGGTGAGGCAGTGGCTGAATTTCTGGCTTGCTCAGAGCCTTGGAAACTGCCTGTCCCCAGTAACTAGGTGGCTGAGCCTCTCCCTAGCCCCTATCTCCCCAACCTGGGCAGCCTGGGGGACCGCTTTCTGAGACCCCCCCAGCTCTGCTTACCCTTGGATGCCCTTCTTGGGTGGCTTGCTCTTAAACTGCCTGGTTTGCCGCTGCTTAAATCTGGGTGGTCCTTTCCTGGGGGTAACAGGTCCTCCAACCACCCTCGTGGGTGGCTGGATCTCGGCCTTGGGTGGCTCCAGGTTCATGGCGAGGCTGGCAGAGACACTACAGTGACCCTTGGCTTCTGGATTTCCTCAGAGTGACCTGGACTCCTGAGTGGCTGAGGTCAGACCAGGCAGGGGTTCTGGTCAACTCTCCTGTTCTGTTGGGGTCACAACCACAGAACAGAGAAGTTGAGACGGCACTACCTGCCACCCTTCGGTGTGCCCAGGACAGCAGCCCCGCCCTGGGAACACCTTCAGCTCCATTTAGGTGTACCCCCAGAACTTTCATTTCCCACGGGCCCTGCCAGAGGCCCCCACTGCTACCCATAACTCAGGCTGTCTCCCTGTCTCCCTGGTGCTGCTGGTCTCACTCATCCAGCCCCCACAACCAGTCTGTCCTCCTGGCCCCTCCGTGTCCCAAACCAGGACCCCTTACTGCCTTGGTCTCTGCAGGTGGCTCTAGAGACACTTGAGGCCTGTGTCCCTCCCCTTTGCTCAGTGACGGAATCCAGCCACGTCATCCTGTGGAAGGCCTTCTGGGGGCTCCTGCTAGGACTGGGATGCAACCCCATGAGCCCTTCTTCCAAGCCTTTCCCATTAGGCTCACCAGTCTTTGCTCTGGCCACACTGTCCGCTGGCCTTTCCTTCCTGACAAATTGCCCCAGGCTGCCCTCAAGGGCTCCAGTTCCCTCTCAGGAAGGCCTACCCTACAGTCACTCTGTGCCTCAGGCCCTGGTTTATTTCTTTACATCATGTGTAAGCCCAAATTCCTGATGTGTCAATGCGAACCCGTGACTGACTAGGGTCACCTGTGGGCTTTTTCTGTGTTTGTTGTCAGCCCTTGGGGTTGTGACAGGGAGCTGATAAACAATGGCTCACAAAATGGGAGGACAGGGGTTCCCTTGGAGAAGGGGCCATCTCGGAACCAGATCCCGCGCCTCCTGGCTCTATTACATGGAGGGACAAGCCGAGGCCTCACCAGCTCAGCGAGGCTGGCCACTTCCACTGGCTAGGGGCCTCCTCTGGGTCAGTGTCGCCCTGGCTCTGGCGTGGCTGAGCTGGCCTCTGCTGCTGTGCCTTGATGAACCATGTCCTTGAAGGCTGACGATACCCCTCCCCAGAGCTGCTATCCAGGCCCCTGTGACCTTGGCCAGGGGCACCTTGGCTTTCTCTAAGCCTATTAGCACCAGAGAGAAACTCCTAATCTCCCATGGAACTGCAAAGTCCCACACAGGGCCAGAGGAGCTGAGGCTGTGCACGTGGCACAGACAGAGGACACTGCCCATGACCCCAGGTGCCCCAGGGACTACCTTATGGGGTCCCCTTTCCTGCTCCCCCATCTTTTGGGTTGGAGTACCTGACTGCAGCCTTGGGCTACTGCTGGCTGCTTTCTGGAGCTCTAGGGCTAAGGCTGACCATGGCCTTGTTTTGAGGGCTTGGCAGGGTCCACCCAATCCCAGGGGCCCTTCTTTCCCTCCACGAGGCCTTGTCCTTGGGGCCAGCACCAGCCTGGGAGAAAGCAGGGCTCAGAAGCCTGGTGATTCTGGTTGCGTGACCTTTGTGGTACCCATCCCTCACTTTCCAGACAGCACAGGCCCAGGCAGACCACCTCGCCAGCCCAGGCCATGGGCAGCTCTGGGCCCAAAGGGATCTCCAACTCTCAAATGCTGTTCCCATGGCAATGCTGTCTGAGTGGCCCCAGGCGGCTTAGGCTGTGGTTGGTGCCAGCCAGCTGGTTGGTCACATGGGAACTGCAGCTCCCAGACCATCACTGGACTCAGGAACACTGGCACCACCATTTGACATTGGTGGGTATCTTCTCTGAAGGACAAGGGGAAAGGGGCATGACTCCTGAAGACACAGACCTCAGCCATGCGGGTGAAGGCCCATCATCTCTCCCGACCCCAGGGCAGATGGGCAGATGCCTGATTGCCAGGAAAAGCAGCTGGGTGTGTCAGTACTCACCAGGTGCCGGTAAGGTCTCAGGGAGCCACAGGTGCCAGGGCTGAACCTGGCTCAGCAGGGTGCTGGTCCAGCCACTTATCCTGCTGCCTTTGATCGGATTAAGACTCCTCTCTCTGACACCCACTAATGAGCCTGGAGCCCTGAGAAAGAGATCCTGCCCAGGATACCAGGGGTGGACAGAGACACTTAGGAGCAGTTAAGGGCCTAAAAGATGGCCAGAGACCAGGAGGCGAAGTGTGGTCCTGAGCAGCCTATGGGTGAGACTCCACCTCCAAACGCCACCTGCCTGTCTTACAGATGGCTCTGGATCTGGCTCAGGCCACCAATCTCTGAAGAACCTGCCTTCAGGCCCCCAATGCCTATGTGGCCTGGCCTGGCCTGTCTCCACTTCTTTGGTCTTACCCTTTACTCCTGCCTCTTGACCCAGGATCACTGCCCTACTCCTGGGTGATGCAGTTCCTGTACCTCTCCCCTTCCCCTGGTGCTTCTTGCTGGGCCTCTGGATCTCTGTGTCCAGGGTCATTTCTCAGGGCAGCCCCTCAAGCTGGACCAGATGCCTGTTTTGGCTAGAACTGTCCTTCCTCAAACATCTTGTGCTTATTTGGATGGTTTTTGTTATCTTTTGTCTTCACACTGGAGTGGAGCAGGCCAGGTGGATTTCTACTAGTCCTGGGGGACAGTCTAGTGCTGGGCACTTCACAGATGCCCAGCAGGTAGGTACCTGTAGATGGAAAGATGAAGACAATGTTGGAGCCAGTTCTCCAGGAGAGGGCTGGCCTCACTGTGAGGGGCAAGGCCAGTGACTTCTCTTTGGGGATGTCTCACTGTGTGGTCTGATTAGACCATCACTGTAATTCCAGAATGAGGCTGGTTTTGTATAACCTGCAGGGTAGGATGTATGTACTCATACTTACATGTGTGCACAGTGAAAAATAAAAAAAGACCTCATCATTCAATAGATATATACATATATATGTGCTACTACATCTCAGTCCAGTCATTATTTTTTCAGCCTCCTGAGTAGACGGGACTATAGGCAAGCACCACCATGCCATTTCCCCCTCCAAACACTTTTTTTTTTTTTTTTTAGTACTTGGTATCCAACCCAGGGCCTTGTGCCAGGCAAGTGCTTTACTACTGAGCTATATCTCAAGCCTTATTTTTTTTCTTTTTTAAATATTTTTTTAGTTGTATATGGACACAATACCTTTATTTTGTTTATTTGTTTGTGGTGCCGGGGATCAAACCCAGTGCCTCATGCATTGTAGGCAAGTGCTCTACCACTGAGCCACAACCCCAGCCTTTGTTTTTTTTAATTTTGAAACAGGGTCTTGCCAAGATGTCCAGGCTGAACTTGCCATTCTCCTGCCTCAGCTTCCTGAGTGGCTAGGATTATAGGCATGGGCCACTGTGCCCAGCAGAAGACTTCTTTTGTCTCTATTTTGGAGACAAACCCCCTCTATGTTGTGCACTACTGTAGGGCCACCAAATCCCACAGCACTGCCCTGTTTCTGGGCAACTTGTTTCTTTTTCTGGGCCATTTCTCATTCCATATAAGGCTGGGTTAGACTACATATTTGCCAGGTTTAGGATCTAATAGTCATTGCACTCACGTTTCTCGAGCCCAGCAAGGACTCAGTGCTATTGGATGGTGTGCATCAGCTGTTCAAGACAATAGCCTGAACCCACAGTGTCTAATCACCCTCTAGTGAGGCACCCCACCTTGTGGCCTCACAGTCCTATTGCCACAGATTCCTATATGAAGCTGGGATATGGAAAAGACTTCCTTCCGTGCAGCTACTGTATAATCCCAGCTTTCCCTAAATGATAAGCATAGACACTCAAGCCCAGTTCTAACCTGGCCACTGACAACATGGAAATTGGAACTGCTGGTGGGAGAGGTTGGGGTGGGGAAAGTTCTATGGAATGGGGAGGGAAATGGTCAGTTAGGACCCCAAGATCAAACCCTATACATGGGCCAAAGTCCAATGGCTAGGATTGTGGCTAAGAACCAGGCTGGTGCCAGGCAGCTGGCATTGGAATTAATGCCCCAGGCCTCTCAACTACTTTGGCAGCCTCAACCTAGTGGATTTGGAAGGACTAGTTCCAAGCAGAGCTCAGGCTCCTGTGGGTGTCCACAGTCTCTACCTGGTAGGACCCAGCAGGGGACTAAGAGTGGATGGAGGGATGGGCTGCCTGCAAGGATTTGATCACAGTCCCTCACAAGCCCAAGTGGCCCTTCTGCTGCTGCACTTGGGAGTGTTAACCAGAGTTGGTCTTCAGCAGGACTTGGGGGATACTGGAACTCAGAGGGAGCCTGTCACTTGGACATTCAAGTTGATGGGGTCTTTTCTTAACCCTGCATGCTGGAAAGCCTGTGTTGCTTGACAGAGGTGCAGTACCAACACACACACTGCTTTCTTCTTGTGTTTGCAGCACTGGGACAATCCCAGGATACTCACCACTAGGCCGAAAACCCAACTCTTTGTTTTTTCTTTTTTTTAAATTTTTTTTTTCAACGAGAGAGAATTTTTAATATTTATTTTTTAGTTTTCGGTGGACACAATATCTTTGTTTGTATGTGGTGCTGAGGATCAAACCCGGGCTGCACGCATGCCAGGCGAGTGCGCTACCGCTTGAGCCACATCCCCAGCCCATGTTTTTTCTTTTGAGACAGGACCTTGCTAAATTGCCCATGCTGTCTTGAACTTTTGATGCTCTTGCCTCAGCCTCCCAAGTGGCTGGGATTACAGGTGTGCACCAACACACCTGATTGCACCTGCTTTCTTTGAGAAGGCAATGTAGGCCTTAGGAAAAATACAAAAGTCTCTTGTTCAACCACTAGAGAGATTTTATTTATTCTCAGGTAAAGTCAATAAAAGAGTTCCTCCTGAGCCCGTCAGATACATCAAACCCAGACAGGAGGTGTGAACAACAATCACTGCTGCTTCCTGGACAGAAGCGGATGGACTGGCCTCTGTCCAGGGTAAGGGTGTCTTGGCCAGGCTGACTCAGTCCCCACCTCGTGTGCGGAGCTGGATTTCCATCCTGAGGAAGGCCTTGAGGTTCTCATCGGCCACGTGCTCCTCCAGGGCAGCCAGGGCCCGCTCCCCACCATCCTGGTAATGCCGCAGCAGGGCCTCTGCATACTCTACCCACACGCAGTTGGGGCAGCCACTCATGCAGCAGTTTGTGGGAAGCTGGAGTTCAGGTGGCAGAGAGTATGGGGGTCCTGAGGGGCCCCCAAGGAGTAGGGAGGCCTTGGGCTGTTTGGGGTCTTCTGCACATGCTTGGGAGCCCCCCTCCACAAGACCGGTCTCCAGCTTTCTGTGGCCATCATTGGCTTCCACTCGGGCATGGCGCCTGTGAAGGATGCAGCCCACACCCTGTGGATGCAGATAAGCATGACTGTGCAGGAAGTTGGTAAGGCCTCACTGTCCCCAGGTCTGGGGGGCTTTCAGCTTTCCTGTCACTTTCCTGGCTCCATGTCCTTCTTAACTTCCCCACTTTCTGCATGACCTCAGACAAATTATTTCACCTTTCTAGACTCAGTTTTCCCATACCTAAGCCTGACAGAATGGTTGGTGTGAGGACTGAGCTCAGAGATCCGCATCTGGTGTGCACTCCAGTAGACAGGGCAGGGGTGGTGACCCCAGCTCAGACCACTAGCTGAGAAGTCCTGGACTGGAATGGGGAGACCCCAAGCTCCTGGCCACACGGATGCCTCTCCTCCTTCAACCCGTGTGCCGTGCCCCTCCTGATAGAACGTCCTGATCAGTCTCGTGCCGGTTCTGTCACCCGAGAAGCCAGGCTCTCGGTCACCCTGTCCTCAGGGCCCCACGGGCGGCCTCCCCGCTCCACCGCCCCAGCCCTCGGTCGGTCTCCTCCCGAGGCCCAGGTCACTGCCTGGCACCCTAAGTGGGCAGTGTACACCCGTTTACTAGCTCCTCCTGCAGGCGCCTCAGCTCCCCCTCGCCAAGCCCCAGGACCCAGAGGGCTCCAAACAGCGGGCGCTCAGCAGACGCGCGGGACGGCTAACCGGCCTCTCCAGACCGGGGCGGGGGGCTCCGCGGCCGGCCCCGCCAGAGCCCTCGGTCCCATTTGCCCGCCCGCCCGCCGGTACTTGCCCAGCGGCCGACGGTGACGCTCAGCGAGCGACCTCCGGGCGCTACGGTCCAAAGCAGCATTGCGGCGGCCGGGCTGAGACGTGAGCGGCGGCCGCACGGGCCAATCCCAGCGCACCAGGAAGCCGCGCCGCTCCAATGAGCGTGGGATTGCGCGCAGGAAGCGGAAGAGGTGCTCGTGAGGCGGGGCTGTAAGGAGAGCGGAAGTGGCTTCACTCGTTAAGTGCCCGGAGCAGCGATGGAGGGAGCGGAACGCCGAGCCGCGGCTTTAGCGGGGTCGGCGAGGTTTGGCGGTCGAGGGCGGCCGCAGACGCAGCGGCGCGGGCAGCAGCAGCAGCACTCGGCCTTGCGGCCGGGACAGCGTGGGTGGGTGCCGAGTCGCGGGAGGGGACCCAGTCAACGAGCTTTCACGCGCGCCCCCTGGCGGCCGGGCCGGGGTCCTGGGTGCCGGCTGGGCTCGGCTCCGGGAACGTCCGTCGGGGAGTGGGCGTGAGCGCCTGGCTTCGCACGGGCCTCGTTCCCGCTCCGAGGCCGGCTGTGGGCCTTCCACACCGGACAGCCTCGGCGGGGGTGGGAGCGTGGGCTCTCTCCCGGTGGCCGGGCCACTCCTTCCACAGGCCCGGTCTCCCTTTCTTTGATTCTGCTTAGGCTGCTCCTGGTGCGGGCCTCACCCCCGGATTCTCCTTCCCAGCAAAGGAGAGAAGGTGGTAAATTGCAAGCCCAAGAACCAGGATGAACAGGAAATCCCTTTCCGCCTCCGAGAGATTATGAGGAGCCGACAGGAGATGAAAAACCCTCTCAGCAACAAGAAGAGGAGAAAGGAGGGTATGTACAGGCCCCTGCTGGGTGGCGACAGGCTTTAGGACTGAGGTCGCCCAGCTGTCCCAAGTAGGTGTGAGCCTTGCTGTCAGGAAATTCACCCAGACGCAGTGCTCTGGGCAGGAGGACCGAGCAAAGGCCTGTGTTGGTGGTAGTGTGGCTCCAGAAGAGGCTTGAGAGGATCCCGGGCGGGTTCAGGGAACCTCAAGAGCCATGGGAGGGAGTGTTGATATTTTTCTTCCTAAAAGTGATGGAGATCTATCAGAGAGTTTTAAACTGCAGTAACCGGTGAGATTTTCTTTTTTTTTC